TTAGCACAGGGGAAGAATTTCTGGGACTAAAAACCCAGGATCAGAGCCATGAGATGGTGGAGGTGGTTTATGCCTTTAATCCCAGCACTTGGGAGTCAGAGGCAGATGGATCTTTGAGTTTGAGGCAAGCCTGATCTGCAGCGGGAGTGTTCCAGGACAGCCTGGAGGAGTACACAGAGAAACCCTGTCCCTGTCTGTCTGGGGTTGGGGGTGGAGAGCCAGGGTCAGTATGAGAGAAACCTAATAAGCTTAATTGTTTTATGAAATAAAACAAGAAACAATATTCACAGCATATTGCACAAGACTGGTAGAAACTTTTGAACATAAAGAACAAAAGGGTGAAAGACAAAGGAAAAAAGACAGTTGATACCTAAGCATACTGAGTAATGAGAATACAGGTACCTTCTGACTGTATGGTATGGGATATATAGAGCATATGCAAACTGTGAGAAGGCTTCAAGTAACCATTTTTTTTTTTTAAAAAGACTGTAGCCCCTGCTATCCTCAGAACAGACAAATAACTGGTTGTAATCAAGTCACCTTCACTTATGCTCAACAATACATAAATTAAGCAGTTGAAGCCAGGCAGTGGTGGTACCGCCTTTAGATTAATTCTGGCACTCAGGAGGCAGAGTCAGGCAGATTTCTGTGAGTTCCAGACCAGCCTGGTCCACAGAGAAACCCTGTCTTGGGGTGGGGGAAGCAACTGACACTTTCTTCATCTATGTAACTATCAAAGGCTAAGAGAAAGGAAATCTAGTTTTAGAGTTTGAAAGAAGATAGATTTCATACATGAAGAGAGAAAGCCACTGGGCTTGGCTTGGACCCTTGAAAACCTCAAAGCCTGTGCCCAGTGACACACTCCCTCCAACAACTCTTGATCAAGCCATCAAGCCATAACTCTTGATCCTTTCAAGTACTTTCAAATAATGCTATTCCCTGGTGACCAAATATTCAGAACTAGGAGCCTGTGGGTGGTCATTCTCCTTTAAACAACCACATTCCACTCCCTGACCCCTATAGTCTCAACACTTTTGAAGTCCAAAATTGAGCACTAGCTAGGCAGAGGCAGGCAGATCTCTGAGTTTGAGGACATCCTGGGCAGTTACACATAGAAACCTTGAAAAATTGTAAGTAAGTAAGTAAGGTAAAAAACCAACAGCAAACTTCAAAACCTGCATCTCCATGCACGTGGATGCCAGCACTCTGTTCAGATCTGCAGCTCCTTTCAGCTTTGTGCCACAGCCTGTCTGCAGCTGTCCTCACCAGGAGTCCCACAACCCTGGCAGGCAGTCCAGGCTTTACTCTCAAAGCTTCATGAAATGTCCTCCCGGGCCTTCTTGCAGAATACCCCTGACACATGCCTCGCCTTAGCAGCTTTCCTTAGCCACGAAGGGAGAGTCTATATCCTGTTCATGTATCCTTTAAAGCCAGAACCATGTGGGTGGCTGAAGCTGCCAAGTTCTGCTGCCTGCTGGGACTGGAACATGGCCCCCTCATTCAATTATATCTTCACCAGCTTTTTGTTGTGGATGGTTTCCTTCACTGCTTAAGCTTTCCTTTAATTCCTTTCCAGGAGTTGGAAGCTTAGCTGGGTGGGGCCCTACCCTGAGTTCACCACTCCCTTTTTCCATTAGCATCGGGCTTTTCTTTAATCTCTCCCTGATCACTGGATTTATACTATACTTCCTAAGGCTCCTTTTCTCTTCAAACTGTACATTTTGTGATTCTTTTTTTTCTTGGTCAGCTTGCTCCTATTCATTATATATAGATCAGCATAATACTTACCACTAATAACCACATGACAAGAGTCAGTACTAGGTTGTTTTAAAATCTTCACTGCAATTCCTCGGGTAGATTTTTTTTGGGCAAGGGCAGAAAGCAGACACATTCTTCACCAAAATATCATAAGAACAGTCTCTAAGCCGCTTATTAATACTCTCCTGTGAATCCTCTTGAGCTGAGCTGCCATAATCTGCATTGCTGTCAGTGACACTGTCTTTTCATGCCTCTACTAGTATGAATTTCAAGCCCAGCTTAAAGTGTTCAACTGCTTTCCTAATTCAAAGTCTACATTCTGCCAACATGAACCATGCTTGGGCTATCATCACAGCAATATCCCCTGGCGCCAACTTCTCTTTTAGTCAGTGTTCTGTTGCTGTGAGGAGAAACCATGATTGTGGCAGCTCTTACGAAGGAAAGCATGTACTTGGGGCTTGCTTGTAGTTTCAGAGGTTTTTTAAGTCACTGGCATCATGTCGGGGAGCATGGTGGTGTGCAGTCGACATGGTGCTGGAGAGGTAGCGAGAGTCCTTCTGGGTAAGTAGGCAGCAGAAAGAGAGATGCTGGCCTTTGGGAAATCTCTAATCCCACTCCCAGTGACACTTCCTCCAACATGGCCACACCTCTGTTCCACTCCCTAGTGACCCAACTATTCAAATCAATGAGCCTATGGGACAGTTCTTAAGCCACCACAATGGCAGATGGAAATAATTTGCTATTCTATTTGACATTAGGAATCAAAGCCCAAAAGTTTTTTCTATTTATTGTACTCCATATTCCAGGAATTGATGTTAAGGAAATACATACATCCCCTAAACGTTTATTTAAGAAGCAACTTGCCTGCTGTAGATTCTGTTCTTGTCAGTGACTGAGAGAATGTCACCCACAACTCTTCCATTATGGAACGATGCAGTGACATAGACCTCAAATCTTAGTACTCAAAGTGTTGAGGCAGGAGGATCATGAACTTTAGACCTAAGTTACATAGCTTAATGCCTCAATTGTTGTCCCCACCCCACCCCCCAAAAACCAACCCAACACAAGCAACAACCCAAACCCACCCTGTTGTCTAAACATAGGATATTTGAGAGCTGGAGAGACACCTCAGTGGTTAAGGGCGCCAGCTGCTCTTGCAGAGGACCCGCGTTTGGTTCCCAGCACCCACATGGTGCCTTACAACAGGCTGACTACAGTCCCAGGGGACCTGTGCATCTCCTGGAGGCTGGTGGGTTTGCATGCACATGATTCATAGTCACACATTAAAAAAGTAAAATTTAAGAGAGACTTCACACTTTCCTTTGGTAGTAGATGTTGAGATTAGAAGAGGAAGTAGAACTTTAAAGGGATTAGAAATTTTAAAAAATGGGGATCTAGAGACATAGTTCAGTGGTTAGAGCACTACTGCTCTTCCAGAGTATCTGGATTCAGTTGCTGGCAATCTCACGCCCTCTAGTGGTCTGTATGGGCACTGACTGCATGTGATGCACAGACATAAATGCAAACAGAAATACACTTAAAATAGAAATAAATAAAATATTTTTAAGAAATAAATTAAATGTAAGTAAATAATATGAGAGGTTTAGAGACATAGTAGGATATGTACATGGAGAGATTAAAAATAGGAAAGCTAGTTAAGAAACAATGTGTCCGTTATGGACAGAATACAGGGCAGGTACATTGCACTTCTGAACCATGAATTAGGGTGCCGAGCCCTTCCTTACAGATGAAGTAAGGTGCCTGCCTAGAAGGTAGGGGTGCTGAGCCCCACCTCAGAGAGCTCTACACTAACAACAGCCAGGAACTAATTCAAAGTAGATTTCTTTTGGCTTCTTTCTCACAATTTTCTGTTTCCTAAGGATTCTTGTACTGTATTTACTGTTTTATCTTGTTTGTTTATGTTAAAGATTAACAGAACTAAAAGAACAGAACTAAATTTGTGTCAGACAATAAGATTATCCATTGAGGGGGCTGGAGAGATGGCTCCATGGTTAAGAGTTCTGGCTGTTCTTCCAGAGGTCCAAAGTTCAGTTCCCATCACCCACATGGCAAATGGCAGCTGTCTGTGACTCTAGTCCCAGAGGATCTAACACCCTCTAACACAGATATACATGCAAGCAAAAACACCAATGCACATAAAATAAACATTCTTAAAAAAGAAAGAAGATGTTCATTGACGGGAACTGGAGGTAAATGACTGGAAGCCTATTAGTGTTTGTCTCTTTGGCCACCTCTCCCAGTTGGATGAGAATGATTCAGTCCTGGATCCCTGTCAGACAGAACAGCGAAATTCTGACACAGCATTGCCAGTAACTCTGGCAGGTACTCCCATAAACCTGCTTTGTGTTTTATTTTGACCATCTTGTTAGAGGGTCAGGTAACATACTGTAATTATTTAATCTGTTACTGAGTTTTAAAAAGTAGCACTGTGACAATGAAAACACTCTAGTAAGAGGAAATTAGAGGTGAATTTCCAGGGGGAAAAGTTTTATTTGTTTGTTTTTAGAGACAGGATTTCTCTGTGTAGCTCTGGCTGTTGTGGAACTCACTCACTCACTCTGATTTCTTCCTCCTCCCTCATTTTTTTTTTTTTTTTTTTTTCCTGGTTCTTTGAGGCAGGGTTTCTCTGTGGTTTTTGGAACCTATCCTGGAACTAGTTCTGTAGACTAGGCTGGCCTCGAACGCACAGAGATCCACCTGCCTCTGCCTCCCGATTGCTGGGATTAAAGGCATACGCCACCGACACCTGGTTTGAATTTTATTTTTTATTTCCTGAGCTGAACATTTTAAACCATCACAGTAGAGGTGTAAATGAATAAATGTTACAGTAAAGTTATTTGCAGTTATGTACTCCTATTGTTATATACAGACTTTAGAAGGCGTTCTACTGTGTGACTCCTGGATGTGGAACTCCATTGTCAGGCTTGGTGGCAGGCACCTTTACACGCTCAGCCACCTCACTGGTTCTATGAAAGCATTTCTGAGGTTCATATTCTTGGAATATTTGCTGTTACCATAATGACCCTTCTAGTCTATCACAGGAGTAGATAAATTTCTGAATCTGTCTGATTGTCCGGGGTTTGAGCTTTAAATACATCTCATATATCCCAAGGTGCAGATCTGTTTGCCTTCAAGTTCTTGAGGTCTGCGTGTGTCTTTTGGACTTGATTTTGAGTTATAGCACCTTGAAAACTCTTCATCCTTCTTCACCTTTGCTTAAGGCCCCTGCTCCAAAGAGCACACTTGTTCCCGTCGTCCCCATCACTAAGTCAACAGGCTCTCGGTTCCGGAACAGCGTGGAAGGACTGAACCAGGAGATCGAGATCATAATTAAGGAAACTGGGGAGAAGGAAGAGCAGCTTGTTGTAAGTACTTGTCTTCATCCTCAAAGAGGCCTTGCTGTGTGAGCTCCAGAGCGCCCACCAAGACAGCTGTCATTTTATTGTCTGTATTTAAGTTTCTTGAGAGAATGACAATTTAACATTCATAAAAAGTAAAAAACTATGACCATGAAAGTAATTAAAGAATTTTAATTTCTTTGCCTAACTTAGGTTCAGTTCTAACAGAAACGGTTTTTCTTTTATTTGTAGAAAATACCACATGGACAGTGTCCTTTTCATTAGCTATAACTCCATGTAATGAGTGTGAGTTACAGTTTTATGGAGGGTGAGCAAATTGTTTTTAAGGAGGAACCTTCCTGCCCCATGTTTGTCATGACTATTTGGCCTACCTGCTCTGTAATTGTCATGATTATCTGGTTTGAGTTGGTAGGTGCGTTTTCATGGAGTGCACTTACAAATTATCTACTTAGTCATTTTACACAGAAAAATTGCTATTTAAACTTAAATGCATCACAGTGTATTTATCTTAGAAGGGAACTAGTTTGAAGAAATACTTCTCTGTTAAGATCTAGTGCATTCTTTTTATGTTTCATTTGTTGAACTCTGTGAAGCTGTGTTACTTTGCCTGTCTAAAACACCTGATTGATGTAATAACTAAACAGTCAATAGCTAGGCAAGAGAGGGGAACAGGCAGGGCTGGCAGGCAGAGAGAATAAATGGGAGAGATCTGGACTTGGAGAAGAGTGCGAGGAAGAGAGGAGGACGTCAGGCGCCAGCCATCCAGCAAGCTGTGGAGTAGGAAGGAAAGAAAGGTATAAAGAACGGTGAAAAGCCTAGAGGCAAAACATAGTTAAAGAGAAAAGGTATAATTAAAGTTAGAAAAGCTGTCTAGAAATAAGCCAAGCTAAGGCCGGATGTTCATAAGTAAAAATAAGTCTCTCCAAGTATTTATTTGGGAGTTGGGTGGTGGGCCCCAAAGAATAAAACAAAACCAGCTATACTTCACAAATGGCTAAAATTTTCCCTTGAAGGTGAAGACAGCTGGGTGTGGTGGGTTCCTTGTAGTCCCAGTTGAGGTCTCCCACCTATGTGGTCTCCAGCTGGTTTATATAACTGAAATCCTATCTCAAACAAAAAGATAAAAGCTTGGTTTAGGTTTGAAAATACAGAACTCTTGCTATCCTCCATTCTGTGAGATGGATATACTTTCCTTCACTAATTAGAGCAAAGTAAACCAAAATTTTAGGGGGACTGGTTTGCCTGCTAAGTGAGCCACACGAGCTTTCCTAAGTGTCTCCTTGATCTCACTCTATAATTAGAATTGCTGTGATTAACTTTTCACTCATTAGGAAGGTTTCTTGGGGAGGGGGACTTTTGATGGGGAATGGGCAGGAGGGCACAGGAACCAAGGGCCCACCTAATGTCACTAATTCTTACTTTTACCTTTGCCTCTCCTAGGAATCTTGCGGCACACCTGGATTTCACCTTTACCTTGATAATTATTTTTTAGTAATTTTAGAAGTAACAGTGCATGATATCATTCAGTGCAGTAAACATTGACCTCTTGTGTTTTATGCCATGAGAAAACAAATGATGTCACAAATGACAGCTCTCACTGAGGTGGCAGGTTAGACATGGAAGCCACTAATGAGAAAACCGAAGTAATAGAAGGGTGGTTGCTTGCTTGCTTGTTTTTGAAATGTTGATTTGCTATGTAGTCTGGCTACCCTGAGAGTCAGAACCCTCCTGTTGTGGCCTCCCAAGTACTAGGCATACTGATTTGTGGCACATTTGTGGCTTAGAATTTGATTGTGAGTTTCTTACCACAGAGGAATGTTGACATTGGATGCATGCTGGTAAATTTCAAACTCAGTAGTGTAAATGTGTATTTTTTAAATTTTGTAACAGCCACAAGACATTCCTGATGGTCATCGTGCACCTCCGCCCCTCGCTCAGAGGAGCAGCAGCACCCGCAGCATTGACACACAGACCCCTGGCGGGGCAGACAAGAGCAGCAACAACAGCAGCCGCTCTCAGTCTGTGTCCCCCACGTCCTTCCTCACCATCTCCAATGAGGGCAGCGAGGAGAGTCCCTGTTCAGCTGATGACTTGCTTGTTGACCCCAGGGATAAAGGTATAATGGGGGTAGAGTTGCATCGGTAGGTGGTAATGGAATACCTCTTGTTTTATCATATACTCTGCTCATTCTCTATGGGCACACACGTCAGAGGAATGGGGTCAGAGCAGCAGTTCAGAGCATGCAGCTTTGCTGCAGTGCTGGGATGTTAATTAAGACTTTTGTTCCTACTTTTCTTTTGCAGCACTTATGGTGAATATGGCTTCCTTATTAGACTAGCCCAGTGGTCCTCAACCTTCCTAACACTGCGACCCTTTAATACAGTTCCTCATGTTTTGGTGACCCCCAACCATAAATTATTTTCACTGCTACTTCATAACTGTAATTTTGCTACTGTTACAAATTGTAATGTAAATATTTTTAGAGATGGAGGTCTACCAGTGTCTCAACCATAGGTTGAGAACTGCTGGACTGAATAGTTATTTTTCTGGAAAGTACTTTGTTCTTGAACATTTGACTAGTTGGCATGTGAAGTTTCAGTTTAGTGCTTTTTAGAATACTTATAAATTTGCTTTATCTCAAAGCCAAATGAATGTTCAAAACAAATATTTAAAGGTTGGAAGGAACTGAGGCTGGAAGGTTATCACTGGCTAAGAGCACTGGCTCTTGGAGGGACCATGATTCAGTTCCCAGTACCCAATCAGGTTGTTCAATCCCCCGATAACTCTAGTTGCAGGGGACTTTCCTGCATGTAGGGACACATACAAACAAGTGGGCAACACATTTGTGTGAAAACTTAAACGTTCTGCAAAGTTTGGAGGTATTTATACAGTAAAATTAACCTTAAATCAGAAGCAATTTGAATATTAAGTACAAAATCTTAAAAAAAAAAAAAAAAAATAGAGACAAAGATCTTACCTTTTAAAAGAAATAGGAGCCAGGTGGTGGTAGCCCACCATTTATCTCAGCATTTGGGAGGTAGAAGCAGTCGATTTCCAACTTCTGGACTACACAGAGAAACCAAAACAAAAAAGAAAAGAAATGGATTATTTTTGATCTGCCTATATCAGAGCAGTATATTGTGTTAGCATAATAATTATAGTTCTTGTATGTACTTGAAAGCAGTGTTGTGACAGTTACTCTGTAAATTGTGTGGCTCTGGAACCTTCTGCATGTCATCTTCACTAGCTGCCATCACCTCAGCGTTTGCATCTGGCAACAGCAGAATTTTGAGCAAGGGCTCCTTAGATCTTCTCTACTTAGGACCTTTTCCCTGAGATAATTTTAAGACCCTGGGTATATTGGTATATAAAACATCAAATTAAACATTAATGGATAATAAATCATAAATGTATTTTTAAACAGTTCTGTTTGTATCTTCCAGCCATAGGGCTGGAGAGAGTGGAAGACATTTGACACCCACTGGCCTCCACGTGCATTTGCTCGGGCATGAGCACATGCACCGCATACCCACAGTTTAAGATAAAAACAGTTAAATCGTGGGGTGGCTCAGTTGGTAGAGCTCTTAGTATGCAAACATGAAGACCCAAGTTTGGATCCAAAGCACCTCTATTAATATTTACATTCACATTCCACACATGTGTGCAAGAATTCAATCTTGCTAGGTTTTTTTCTGTCCACGATGATATAGAGCATCTCCAGCACTTTTGAGTTAATTGGCTTTCTGAATGGATGATTGTCAATGCTGAGAAGACTGCTTTGCAAGTGCATTGTACACAATAGTAGAAGTAGTGTGTGGCCATTTCAGAAACCAATTAAGTTCTGTCCTAATCTGCAACCAGTGTCATTTAGTTAGTTGTTTGTTTGTTTGTTTGTTTTAAGTGAAACTGAATTCAGAGGCACAAACATCAGTTTTTAAAACAAAACACTTAGCTGGGCAGTGGTAGCACATGCCTTTAACCGCAGTACTAGGGACCAGAGGCAGGCGGATCTCTGTGAGTTTGAGGCCAGCCTGGTCTACAGAGTGAGTTCCAGGATGGGTTCCAAAGCAATACAGAGAAACCCTGTCTTGAAAAACCAAAATAAATGCATAAATAAAATAAAAATAAAAAACCAAACACTTAAACACAACACTTAAAGATAGACACTTGGATACCACATCCTGAGGAATTGTAAGAAAACATTTATAAGCATCTTTCTTTTCCACAGTAAAAACACTAGTTCATAACTTACAACCTTGATTCTGAGCTTCAGGGTGTTTGAAGCCTGGGTTTATGTGGTATGATGGCGTGTGCAGTGCAGAGTACGTATGCTTTGCCCCAAGCCCAGGCTGCAGTGAAGGCGTGCTGTGCAGCAGGGTCAAGGACACTGGGGACACCAGGGTTCCTATGTGTTTGAGGTTGTACTGCTGTAAGAAACCTTTTATTCCTGCCAGCTTTTATGTAACCCCACATTCAATTATGGGACACCATATGGGGTCACAATCTATAGTTTCAGAAGCTGAGTTTTAAAGCAAGCTGTAATGGCATATACCTGTAATCCCAGCACTTGGGAGGTCTAAGAGAAGGGCTGTTCAAGGTCATCTTTGGCTATATAGTGAGTTCAAGGCCAGTCTGAACTATATGAGGCCGTGTCTCAAGAAACAAAAGAAAGCAAAAAGGCTGAGTTTTAAATTGCAGTTGTAGACTGTTGCTAATTAGACTTTTAAAAACTTCTTATATGGTGGTTTTGCAAATGTTTAATCCCAGTGCTCAGGAGTCAGAGGCTGGCAGATCTCTGAATTTGAGGCCAGCCTGGTCTACAGATTGAGTTCTAAGACAACCAAGACTACACAGAGAAACCCTGTCTTGAAAAACAAAAAAGGGGGCGGGGAGGATGTTAGAATCTATTTTGGATAGATAATAGCTGTTAAAATATGCCCTTTGATTTCCCATCCTTTTGGTTTTATCTGTCCTAGGAATAATTGTGTTTCTTGGCGCCTTTGACTTTCAGAAAGGAATGATTGATGGCTCCTATGAATTTCTTTTATTAAGAAACAAGGTCATGCCACTATTTCCAGTAGGGGATTTATAGTTCAGCTGACAGATTGAAAATTTTAGAATACTCACATAACATACCAAGAAATGTAAATGACTAGTATGAACTTAGGACGTCAGTGCTGAGTACAAGTGTCAGTAATGAAATGTTCCCTCTGAAAATGGAAACTGGGCTGGGTTCAGAAAATAGGAGGGAAAATTTGGGGAGAGTTTTAGAAACAGTAGGATTTATTTCTTGTAGGTGATGGAAGCTGTGGGCAGAAGGAGGTATTTGGTATGCTCAGCTTTGACCTCAAGCAGAGCCCAAGAAGAAAATCAAGATGAGATTGGAAAATTTGCAGGGCAAGCCAAGAGTTAATAACAAGCAACCATTGAAGAATCATTTCAAATAACAAGTGCTGGGGAAAATAGATATTGTTTGAGTATATTTTCAGAGTATAAATAAGGCAACCAGATAGGTGTGTGTGCAGTCCAAGGGTTGAGTGATACAGGCATATACTAGGACCATTCTAAGTAGAAAGTCAGGAATACGGTACATGTTAGAGGGTGGTGTCAGTGAGAAAAGCACTCTCCTGTCTCAAGTAGTTCCTGTGCAGAAGTTCAGGAATATTAATTTGGTATCAAGATGCATTTTATAATAATGTTTTTGATAATTGTAAATTTTTTTTTTAACAGAGAATGGAAACAACTCTCCTTTGCCAAAATATGCAACCTCACCAAAACCTAACAACAGTTACATGTTTAAAAGGGAACCGCCAGAGGGCTGTGAAAGGGTCAAAGTCTTTGAGGAGTGCTCGTAAGTACGCCACATAAACACACTTTTATATATGACTTTATTGACTCTAAGGAGTTACACATCAAACACATGTCTAAGTTAGAATTTTCAGACAAGATGAAAGAGCAGTGGGATAATTACAGATCTGCCACTCAAATTATGCAATTGTAAGTATTCTGCAATGTTTGTTTAAAATAGCCCCAGAATCCCAATAACCCATGTATCATCATACTACAGAGCAATACTCAATATATGCTAACATCCAGTTATTCCAAGTGTCTCAGCTGTCGTAAGAGCATGCATCTTCCTTGATCACTGTCTGTGTGTGTGCATACCCTTTGTGTGTACATGACTTGAGGGGTGAGAGCTCTCTCCTACCATGTGGGTCCTGAGGGTTGAACTGAGGTTTTCAGGCTTGACTGAGTATCTTCTGTGACTTTTTGTATCTATATTCAGTCAGGTTCACATAGAAGGTGTAGCATCTATTCACTTAAGGTGAAGCACAGATTTCTCCCGATGTGGTTCTCTTTTCCAAAGACCGTGTAGCGCTTGGATTTTGCCTGCTTTTGGTCCCCAGTAATTTCACATTTTCAAATACTTTATCTGCCAGTAGGCTCAGTCCTACTACTGTGAGAAGATAATTTAGAAGTGGCAGATCTTGTCTGTGGTATTGAGGGAATTAAACCAGGGCTTCCTTCATACATGCTACATAAGCAGTCTCCCCATAAGGAGTCTACTTACTTTTATTTATTATTTGTTATGCATATGAATGGTTTGTCAGCACCCCTTGGGTGCCAGGTGCCCACAGAGGCCAGAAGGAAAGGGTTGGGCCTTATTGAACTGGAGTTTGAGGAGATGAGCCTGTGTCCTCTATAACAGCCTGTGATTTTAATGGCTTAGGCAGCCTTCCAACCCTCACTCAGAATTATAAATCACCAGCTCTTGGTATTTGACCTCCTATTCCCCATTTCTAGGGTCTGGACTATTCTTTTCATCTCCTTCTGCCTCCCCAGTTCTGGGATTAAAAGCGTGCACCACCATGCCCCGCTTACACTATCCTTTTTTATATAACGTATACTACGTTTATCCATTCATCAGTCTAAGCTGAAGCCTTTCTATTGAGTTATTTCTCTGTGTTATGTTGGCTTAGAGTCATGGAAGTAAATACCCAGAGACAGTATGCTGGTCATGAGTAGTACTTTTGAGCTCTCTGAGGGACCTCCACACTGATCCTTGTGGCTACATTAATTTACCTTCCCACCAACCCTGGGTAAAAGTCATGGGTGGCCTGGCCTCTTGACCAGCATTCATTTGTTTTCTTGGGAATGAACTTCCTAATTAGAGTCAAATAGAATCTAATGTAGTTTTGATTGTCACTTCCATGATGGTTTTTAAATTCCTGTGATTTTCTTAAAATGTATTTTTCAGATTTAGAACTTTACAGAAGTTGGGTGTGTTTTGTTTTGTTTGTGGAGGGCTGTTGCTTTTTAAGAATATTTTTTTTGCTTGGTGTGGTGGGTCATGCCTTTAATCCCAGAAATCCTGAGGATCTCTTGTGAGCTCAAGGCCAGGCTACTCTACAGAGAGAGTTCCAAAATAGCCAGAAATGTTACACAGAAAAGCCCTGCCTCAAAACACAACAACAAAAATGAGATGAATATTATTCTTTGACAATGCCATCCTGGTAGACAGTGTGTCTTGATCCTATCTTTATTCTTTGACAATGCCATCCTGGTAGACAGTGTGACTTGATCCTGTCTTTATGCTTTGACAATGCCATCCTGGTAGACAGTGCGACTTGATCCTGTCTTTATGCTTTGACAATGCCATCCTGGTAGACAGTGCGACTTGATCCTGTCTTTCCCTCCCTGCCACCTCAGTGCTGTCTCTTCACCTTCAAGTTTCTCCTTTTTTAGGACCTTGTGTTTTACAAACAAAAGCCTCATCCTTAGGACCCACGTGTCTTTTGTTTGTTTGTTTTTGAAACAGGGTTTCTCTGTGTAGCTTTGGAACCTGTCCTGTAACTTGCTTTGTAGACCAGGCTGGCCTTGAACTGACAGAGATCCACCTGCCTCTGCCTCCTGAGTGCTGGGATTGAAGGTGTGTGCCACCGCTGCCTGGCAGGAACTATGTGTCTTAAGCCATTTATTTCTTTTAAGCTAGAGAGCACAAGCATCCCTTGTCCTTTCTTAAATAATTTTAAATAAGAAAACATCAGGCAAGTTTAAGATTGGTGACAAGCCTAGTCCATTGTGCTAGCTCAGTTAGTAGAGTGCCCTCCAGGTGTAAAGCCCTGGTGACCTGTGGTCCCAGCATTCAGAAGTTCAAGGTCATCTTTAGGTACATAGTGAGTTCAAGGGCAGTCTAAGAGATCTTGCCCCTCTCAAAAAAAAAAAAAAAAAAGCTTTATTTTGATGGAGGCATAAAAGTATATCATCTCTAATAAACCTACCTTCAAAGGAAACTTAAGCATTGTTTTATTGTAGAAATGTAGCATTGACTTTATTACAAGTGATGTTCTAGGTAAAAATTGAGTGTGTGGTGTTCTCATAAAACACCCAGAAACATTGTGACATTTGTAGTGTTAGACCCATTGTTTCCATTGATTTAAATCCTGTTCTTTCTTTTGCTCTTTGGCTGTACTGGCAGACTGTCTTTGTAGAGGTGTCCATGTCAGTCAGTGGAGTCTGCACAGCATTGTTGGGGATACCCATGTTGTTAGAAGCCAATCACTAAGTCTGTTATTACTCCTTTAATGTCTGACTCACAGATTTGAAGAAGCCGTCCTTCTTTTTTCAGACTCTCAACTCCCATTACAGATTAGCTCTCTTTATATTGCCTCTAAACCTTTACAAACCATAGTTGCCATTTTTGTCAAACTGTCCTGCTGGTCACCCATGCTAGGTATAGTTTTTCAGTCAGTAGGCCCATAAATAATGTCACATTGCAAAGGAGAGTAATTATATTCAAATGGTTTTGTCTACAGAGTCCCCTCCAAGAACTCTTCAGTCTCCAATCTTGTAGAGAATTTGGACCTTGCTCTTGGAGTCTCTGTAGCTTGGCATACTGCCTTCTTTAATGAACTCAGTTGTCCTTGGGATAGATGAGAACACGACTTTAAAAACCATTTAGTGATTGATTATGTGTGCTTGTGTAGCAGTACAAGTGCATAGGCGAGTGTGCAGAGATTAGAGGACAATTCAAGGGGATTGGTTTATGTCCATCATTTGGATTCCAGGGATTGAACTCAAGTTGTCAGGCTTGGCAGCAATCACCTTCGTGATCTTGTCAGCTGAGAACAATGTTTTTATCGTCTGTTAACAGGGTCTTTCCCATCAAAGTTGTCTTACATGGGTTCTCTCACCTTGATTTTATTTCAGTTTTGTGTTATTTCCATGTTATTTTAACAACTTAATTTTTGCAGTTTTAAAATTTTCATGGACAACCCTTAAGACCAAAAAAAAAAAATTTTTTTTTTTTCTTTTTTTTTTTTGGACGGGGATAATTTTTGGAGGACCTGGCAACAGGAAGAATTTTGCTTTGACAAAAAACTTTGAAGATAGGCTGGAGGGATAGCTCACTGGTTAAGAGCACTGACTGCTCTTCCAGGGGTCCTGGGAGTTCAAATCTCAGCAAACACATGGCAGTTCACAACCATCTGTAATGAGACCTGGTGCCCTCCTCCAGTGTACAGGCATACATTCAGGCAGGACACATAAATACATAACAAGAGCATGAGAGTAAGTGCACTGGCTGTTCTTCCAGAGGACATAGGTTCAATTCCCAGCACCCACATGACAATTCATGCATGTCAAACACATGTCAACCAATGCATATTACAAATAAAAAGAAAAAAAAAAAAAAAACCTTTGAAGACTGAGCTATAGCACAGTAGTTAAAGACTGCTGGGTGGTTCCATCCCCAACATCACAAAAAACTAAAGCTACCCACAAGCTTCCTGTTTTTTTGATTTCACGTGTACCTTACATTTCTTGAAAAATCTTAACAGAAGAATGCTTGAGACATTTTAAATTATCCTTGAAAAAGTTGATATGGAAGTGCATGCTTTAATCCCAGCACTCAGGAAGCAGAGGCAGGTGGATCTTTGTGAGTTCGAGGTCAGCGTGGTCTATAGAGTGAGTTCCAGGACAGCCAGGGTTACCAAGATTTTCTCAAACAAAACAAAAAGTAACAACAACAATAACAAAATCCCACCAAAATAAGCATAAAAGAATACTTGAAAACCTTTGCTAATCAAGGTGTCCTTTAGGGATGTAATTTAGCAAAAACAAAACCAAACTCTTTATATGGTCAGTCTCTCTGTCATCTTATCTCTCTTCAGAGTCTTGGAAAAATCATGTTGGAAAACATATTTGTCTCTATGCATGTGGGTTTTCTTTTGCTTCAGGAAATCTGTATCTTATTTATCTATTTTTTTCAATGTATCTGTATTTAAAAAATGATATTATTTTCAGTCTTCAGTGACTTACAGTAGTGGGTTGTCTGTTTTGTGTCTAGGCCAAAACAACTTCATGAAATTCCAGCCTTTTACTGTCCCGACAAAAACAAGGTGAATTTCATTCCTAAAAGTGGCTCTGCTTTTTGCCTCGTGAGCATCCTCAAGCCACTTCTTCCCACGCCAGATCTCACCCTCAAGGGCTCTGGGCACAGCCTGACAGTCGCCACTGGCATGGCAACCACTCTGCTTCAGCCCATCTCCATGGCCTCCCTGTCTGCAAACACAGAGCAAGACAGGGTGTCCCGAGGAACCAGTACAGTCCTGCCATCTGCCTCCCTCCATGCACCGCCAGAACCAATCGAGGAAGCTGAAGGATAGGCCCCTGCTCCTGTGCTGGCTCCTGGGAACTGAGAACCCCTACAGATCGCGTGATGGCTTTGTGCCCTCCCAGTTGGCTGTGAAGTGCTTTGGCTTTCCAGTGATGTGTGGCAGCAAGGCTACTGGAAGAATGCATCCCCTGTGAGTGCTCAGCCCTGCGCATGAAGGCCACAAACAGTGCTCACCTACTTGTCCTTGAAGCACTGGCAGAAACATGGGAGGTCTCTTTACTTTTGGAGGAAAAAAAATCACATTTTCATTTGTTTTCAAATTAGACTTGTTTAAAACAAAACAAAACATAAAACCTATTCCCTGCAAACATGATTTCTGAAGGGAGATGTGATTGATGCTGCAAGAAAACCATCTTTTATATGAAAATGACTATTTTATAATACCAATGTTACATTTTCTGAAGTAGCAAACAGGATGTTCAAAAGATTCTTTGGTGGCCTCTCTTTCTTCTTTCCCTTTTCTAGGTGTTGCTTTTCTGAGCTGTTTTCAGCTCTGGGACCAAAGGGATTGTTGACATTTCCCCAGCAATGTCAATCTCATGACTGTGTTCTTCTCCCAAATAAGAATTAATAGGTAAATGCATTGAACCAGTATATATAAAATGATAAAAAGCAATATTCGTACATTCTGTGATTTATGTTTTTGATGTCAGAATTTGTGCTTTGGGTGAAGTATTTGTAAAACTTGTGTTTTCTGCACTATCCTGCTCACATCTCAGTGTGTGGTCAGAAAAGTGACACTCTGAACAAAGACAGGTGCTTTAACAGTCAGTGAGCCAAAAGAAACCGAAGTGTGGGTTGTTAGCTAGGAGTGCCACGCTCTCTGGTTTTCTGTGAACTGTGTCACGTGGTTGCCCTCCTTCGCCGGGTGTCATTGTCCCTTTACTCATCACTGTATCATAGCCCCAAGAGACCCTGAAATGGCTGTGCATGGATTTCCTCCTCTGCTTTCGTGGTGGTGTTGTCTTGTGGATGTGGTCAGGGTTAGTAGTTTGCCAGGAGTGTAATCCACTGAGTAGCAATCCGTAGCCCAAGAACCCTGAGAACTGACATTTTCTTGATGGCAGTTGGCACTGAGATTTGTTGCCTACAGATTTTTCCAGTTTCTTATCCAACATTCTACACACTGGGAGAAATAAACAAGAGGTTTGAGATTAAATAACAGGTACCTTTGGAAAATTTAAACAGTTTTGGATTTGGGTTCATCTGATAACCATTGCCAGTGTCCTATAACAATATTTAATTTCTAGGTGTGTGGTAATAAAATCTTAATTTTCCTTAGAGCAGCTCTTTGGAAGTGAATTCCATCAGTGTTGGTGAAGCATTGTTTTAATACTGTCACACACTAACCTGTGCTGCTACATACAACACACAAGTTTTTAAAGCCTGCAAGAGTGACCCCCGCTTGGAAGGCTAATTCCACCACTGGCCCAGTTGTTCCCTCAAAACCTCCAGGTACTAGCAGTGCATTTCCTGCCAGGTATTAGTTACCTCAGAATGTTTGGGCATCTTAACGTAGGCTGTACTTAATATTAAATGAGGATAGTTTAGGCTAATCACATAAATGTGAACAACTATGTGAATCCATCAGTTTTTGGTTGGAAAGACTGATACATTTTGGTAATTTAGCCATCCAAAGATTAACTTCCTGGGCACTAGTAAATTGTAGCTTCTAAGTCAGTAAAAACCTCAGTTGTTTGGGGTGTAGACTTATTGGTTGGTTGGGTTTTGTTTTTCAGTTTGCTTTATTTTTTTGTACCTTTATTTTTCTCTGCCTTGTCATGCCTGTTGACGTTACTTTTTTTTTTTTTTTTTAACCAGTATTGTAAGTACAGAAGAAAGGCACATGGCAGTCAGTTGAGTTGATCTGAAGGGAGAAGGAGGCATTTAAAAGCAAGGGGTTTTATTTTCTTTTGTTTGCTTATGAGGAGGGCTCTTATGCAGCCCTAGCTGGTCTGGAACTCAGACCTACTAACCTCTGCCTCCCAAATACTGAGATCAAAGGTGTACACCACCATTCCCTGCTTGTCATCTTTTTAATCCTGTGGTGCCCCCCCCCCATTTTTCTTTTATGTTTTCTGTTTTTTGCCTTTGTCATATGCACCACCTCTTCTCTCGCTTTGCAGATAGTGTTGCTCTGTAATAGATTTCTCCCTACAGTGTTATACTTGTTGGGCAGATTGAATTCTCTGCATTTGCACGTGTCTTTGAAGTACCACGGAGGGGGACAGGTCTCAGGTTTGAGGTTTGGGATGGAAGATTGTCAATTTTCGAGTAAATGAATTTATGGTGACCAAACACTTGAGTTTTAGAGAAATAGAACCTGAGATCTGAAGAAAAACATAAAAGGTCTAGGTCCAAAAACAACTCTGAACTGCCAGGGCCAAAGGGCTAATTTTTAAGCATATGAGCTTTATTGAAGTCTTAAAAATATATTAACTATAGATCCACCTAGCTATTTTATTTAACTCTTAATTTCCAGGTGGTTGGTTTTAAAAATGGGTCTACTCTCAGTAGAGTGGGTATGATTATATTCACAAACCATATTCCATAATTATAGTTATTCTGTAGAAACTGTACAGCAGTAGAGTAGCTTTAATGGAAATACAGTTTTTTCCAGTGCTAGGGATTAAACCCAGGGCTTCATGCATGCTAAGCAAGTGCTGTCACTGGCTTATTTCCCCAGTCCCTAATTTAAATTTTTAACTAAAAAATTTACTCCCATTGCAGTAAAAGTGGGTGGCGTGGTTTTTTGTTGTTGTTGTTGTTGTTGTTTTGTTTTGTTGGTTTTTTTTTTTTTTTTTTTTTTTTGCCAAAGAAGCTGTTCCTAGTTATTTGTGTATCTTTACCCTCAAGCCGTTTCTGCCCTGCCATGATAGATACACAGGCTTACTGTCTCTGAGATGGTAAGTCTGTTAACTTACCATTGCTTTACGGGCAATCCTGTTTTTAAAAATAGTAGTTTTGCTCTTTTGGTTAAATATGGTATGAACGTCAAAATTCTTTCTATACTAGATTCTTCATTTTGTTTACAGTGTTTCTTAGGACCATAACCAGATCTGCCTCTGAGAAGGCACTGTTGCTAACTGGGGTGTATCTGGCAACAGGAAAAGGCTGCCTGTCTTTATTTTTACTTTTTATGTTTTGATTAAAGAAACAGTAGGTTTTTCCTAGAAGAAGGTCTAAGAAAATGGCAGAATGTTAGTTTTCTATACGCCTGGGATTAGAACTGAGATGTTACGGTTTCCAAGGAAAACTAAATTCAAATTGTCACTACTGCTAAATTTGTAAAGTTGAGATTCATTCCTTAATGTTGGGTTTGGAGTGTGTCAAAACTGGACCAATGGAAGTGCTGAATTTGCAAAATAAAGCCAAGATACTTAACTGCACTTTAAGGTTTCTGGGTACTCTGCCTTCATTAGCGACCCGCAGAGTGACTCTGAACAGTATTTTGTTTATACAGTCCTGTTGGAGATATATAATTTATGTTTTTTAAACTCTGCATCTTTGTCTCTGTTGGTGTAAATCTTTTTTAATGCAATTTTTTAAAGTTATAACAAAATTCTCCCCCAAAAGCAAGCATTTCCAGCAATGATAAGTATTGTTGTTGTGGACTGTGTCCCTGCAGCTGAGTACTTCCTGCTGCCTCACAGGGAATAGAACTCCCATGTTCAAATAAAGTCTGTTGTTCTTGAGGTTTTTTTCCCCGTGTATTTTGTGAATATTGCCGCAAATTCAAATTTCACTTATTTTTTAGCATTTCTAGTCTGTAGCATATGCATAGTATATTCTCTTCCACAAGTTGATAGACAGATACATGTACACAGGCTGTTGGCCTTCTATGCCTGCTCTGGAATCGATGTCCTCATGGTAAGTGCAAAGCAGAACACGGTCCCACAAAAGCACACTCAAACGCACTCACTCAAACAACCCACTAATTCCATTTTTGTTGCTGAGGTAGTCAGTATTCTGCACTACACGGAGGCGGCTTTTTCCTTTGTTTAATTATTGCAAGAATGTTTGGTCTCAGGGATGTTGAGTCTATCTATGGAATAGAGCTGGTCAGTTCAGACCAGTGAAGATTGTCATGTAATCAGTCATCTATGAGGAGGAGGCATGATTATAAGACCTCCAACAAGGCCACACCTCCTAATCCTCCCCAAACAGTGCCACTCCCTGAAGATGAAGCATTTTCATTTAAACCATAGTTTGATTTGATTTAGCCCTTTTGAAACAGACATTGTAAAAAGATTTGTCATGAATGCTGTGATCATTAAAAACTAGTGTTTGTCTCCACCTGCCTGGAGCAGCCTTGCTGGAAAGGCTTTGGTGGTCTGGGGGGAACAAAACTCTGGGCAGGGCCACAGTTTGGGTGGTAAGTTCTACCACTACTGCTCAGTGGTCGTGGGACTTAGAGCCTAAAGTCACCTTCTTGAATTTCAATTTTCACTGGTCCAACTAAAGAACCGCTGTCACTTGAGTGGAGTGTTAAAAGGTAAGAGCTGTATGCAAACTTTTATTTTTTTTGGGGGGGAAGGTCAGGTAAGTTTAGTCATAAGAAAGACTAGAGGGAGGGGTCGGTTATGGAAATGGTCTCAAATTCATTTTAGTTTCTCAGGTATAATCTAGTCAAAGCATTTAATAACAGTATGTACGAGCCCCAACTCTGTTGTCAGACACTGATTGTTACTTCACTCTTTATGATCTCTTCAAGAAGCAAGGAACTGTTGTGCAGATGACAAAATTGGAATTAAGTAACCAACCCAAGTGATGTCTGGGAGATGTCTATATCCAGGACTTACTCTGGAACATGTAGCCTTGCATTGCCACCTGCACTGGCAACACTGATAAAGTCATCTGGTTGCAGTTGCCTGTCACTGAGCCTTGCCCTCGTGATCTCTGCTGCTATGGCTGCTGGCAGCCTGGTTCAGGACGCCTTGGAGACATCAGATCATCACCCAAGAAGTTGGTGACACAGTCTCTCTGGTTTCTAATTTTACTATATTCTACAGAATGAGAGATGTTTTTTTCTTGTTTTTGTTTGTTTGTTTTTTGAGACAGGATTTCTCTTTGTAGTTTTGGAGGCTGTCCTGGAACTAGCTCTGTAGATCAGGCTGGTCTTGAACTCACAGAGATCCACCTGCCTCTGCCTCCCGAGTGCTGGGATTAAAGGCGTGCACCACCAACACCTGGCGAGATGTTTTTCTTTACTCTGGGAAACTTGCCTTTTAGAGAATCTGAAATTAGCTTCCATCACATTTGTCATCTTTCCCTTGAGATATGGACAGTGGTACTTGTTAACGCTGTACTGTGGAAGGAACACAGACCCTTGAGCTTGCTAGACAAGTACATCAAAAAGAAAACAAATCAGCCAGGTGTGGTGGCAAATGCCTTTAATCCCAGCACTCAGGTGACAGGCCGATCTCCATGAGTTCAAGGCCAGCCTGGGAAAGCCAGTGCTACACAGAGAAACCCTGTCTGGAAAAAACAATTTATAATAAACACTTCAAATTTTGACTGTTAGCATTAAACAGTCCTTTTACTTTTTTGTATTTACTCTTTGGCTAGTAGCCCATTATTTACACCAGTGAATGGAGATGTGTATGTGTTGACTAAATGCCAAAGGCATGACTGGGGTGTGGCTCAATGGCACCACCCATGGTGCATGCAGAGTACCTGAGTCCCATCCTCAGCACCAGATTGGGGGTGGGGCAGGGTGGGCACACAATGATGTCTCACACCTTTAATCAGGAGGCTGAAGCAGGTGGGTCTCTGAGTTCGAGGCCAGCCTGGTCTTCAAAGTGAGTTCCAGGATAGTCAGGACTGTTACATAGAAAGCCTGACTCAAAAAAAAAAAAAAAAAGTTCCACTGTACTCTGTAGCTTTTTAAATGGTATAAGGTATAACCCATTTTAACTACTATTTCCTCCTCAGCCTAGACATGGCATATTTAAACTTTCTGTGACACATTTTAATGTATTTTGCCAGCACTACTGAACTAATATTTTTAGTTTGATTTTCTTCCTAGTTTCTTTATCCCAAGATTCAAGGCTGTTTCATTGCTCAGAAGTATAGCCCCACCACTCTGGAATACAGAAGTAACTCAATTTTGGCTCTGCTGGGTTTGGGAGTTTTTTGTTTTATTTTCCCAGACAGGATTTTTCTGTGTAGCTTTGTAATCCGTGCTGGCCTCTAACTCACAGAGATCTGCCTGCCTCTGCCTCCTGAGTGCTGGAATTAAAGGTATGCGCCACCACGGCCTGGCATCTTTTTCTTTAATAATTGATTTTTATTTCGTGTGCATTGGTGTTTTGCCATGGGTGTCAGGTCCCCTAGAACAGGAGTTACAGACAGTTGTGAGCTATCATGTGGGTGCTGGGAATTGAACCCAGGTCCTCTGGAAAAGCAACCAGTGCTCTTAACCTCTGAGCCATCTCTCCAGCCCTGCAATATGTCTTTTTCAACCACCAAATTATTAATGATTGAGCCTCAAATTACTTAATCATGAGAAATAGTACAAATAACTTTCATTTAATAAGCTATCAAATGGAATTGTTTGACTTGAAGTTATAACAAAACTTGGTAAGGCAGTTAAATGTGGCTTCCTGGTTAGAGAAAATAAACCATACTGAAAGATAACCAAAAACTGAATAGTGATAATTGTGTGTGTGTGTGTGTGTGTGTGTCAATTTGTGGTAACTTTGATCTGGGAAAATGGAAGGCCCTTGGCCCTTCATTTTTGTAGTTGATGGTTCGGGCTTTGCCTTAAGAGATCATTGATTTTCTATCACTGAAGTATCTGTTTCTACCAGATAACAGGCTGCCTGTGAGGAAGATCTGAAGAAACTCCTTGGGAAGAATACCCTTGGAAAGACAATAGCACAGACCCAAGATGTAAGTTACTGTTCCTTGAAGTTAAAGGAAAACTACACCGAAACTAAAGGGTAGGCAGGAAACTGAGTGAGTGGCACATCAATGGGAGATGTTTTCACCAGCTTGCCCAACTGCCACTAAATAGCCTTCCCTCCAGAACTGACCCCAAACCCTCTGCCAGCAGCTTTTGCTTAGTAATCAGATGCCGTCTCGGGAGTTAGACGGGAAGGAAGAGAGTGGGCCCCCCTACTTTCTGTGGAATTGTCCGTGTCTGTCAGAAAACCTTCCGGGTTATACTGCATGAAGAAATGAGACTACAGATATATATAAAGTAGTTTCTGGAGGCCTCAGGGAGACTGTGCCCCAGGTAGGCATTACTCTCCTTCCCTATTGCTTGTGTAGCAGTTTGTGAGAAAGCCTGTCAAGTCACTTTCCTCCATTTCTGTAGAAGATGGAGTTCCCATCCTCCTATTTTCCACGTGAAAATTTAGTGATGGAACTAGGTGTCTTCATGATTGTGTGTGAATGAAAAGTACTGTTGGATTTAGCTTCCAAGTACAGAAAAGCAAGCACAAGTTTCTCTAATTTTAGTAAAGCGGACTAGGTTCTCTAATCTGTTCTACATTGTAATCAGGGAGAAAACATTATTTTCTACTGCTATTCCCCAAAATAAAACACCTGCCAGTGTCAAACTCACCCCAAACTGTAGCCTCTTTGTCCTATTCTTTACTCACGTACAGCAAAGAAACTTAAATCTAGAACACTTCCCAAAGAAATACTCCATCTCCTGTGATACAGATGTAAGTTTGGTTTCTCAGTATTACAGATTTGGGAGTTTTTAAAAATTCCCACATACTATCAACAGCTTGCACACCCAGCACAATAAATACACAGACTGAGGTTGGCAGGCAGATGTCCTGTCCAGAACACAGACTTCTGTGTGTGGTCACAGTGCAAACATTGTATACAGTTGAGGCCTTGAGACCCCTGACCCTGTGACCCCAGTCAGGCGTTGAGAAGCTCATCGTCTGAGTGTCCAATAGCATCCGGGTTGGAAAGCGGATCCAAGTCTGCAAATAGATTGAACCAGGCTGACATGTCTTGGTTACCATTGTCGGGGGCTAGTAAAAAAAAGAGACATTAAAGAGATTAAGCTTTTGGAAGTTAATATTTTTGTACTACTTTTGTGAGTTTGAAGTTAATGCTTTTTTATAAAGTTGGCTGATAATTCACTATACCCCCCCCAGGATAATTTTAAATGCAAATGCAGGTAACCTCTGCTTTGCTGAGCCTCTGAGTTCTCTTGGGGATAGTGACAAGGCTCATCTATCTTAGAAGCAATTTCACATGATGTATAGAAAGCTCAGAGATAAGGTTTAAAGTCACAGTAACTTCTGTTCCTCCCAGGAAAGCTTAAGCTGTGCTTAAAACCCCATTATTGGGGATGGAGAGATGGCTCAGTGATTAAGAGCACTGGCTGCTCTTCCAGAGGACCCAGGTTCAAGTCCCAGCACCCACATAGCAGTGCACAGCTGTCTGTAACTCCAGTTCCAGGTGATCTGACACCCGCACACATGCATACATACAGTCAAAAACACCAGTACACATGAAATAAAAAAATAAAGCCACATAGTGGTGGTGCAAGCCTTTTAATCCTGGGAGGCAGAGGCAGGTGGATATGAGTTCAAGCCAGCCTGTTCTACAGAACAAGTTCTGGGACAGCCAGAGCTGCATAGAGAAACCCTATCTCGAAAAATCAAAATAAATAAAAGTAATGCTTCAAAAATATGGTAGCTCACGCCTTTAATCTCAGCACTTGGAGGCAGAGACAGGTGAATCTCAGTGAGTCTGAGGCCAGCCTGGTCTACGAGGTGAGTTCCAGGACAGCCAGGGCTACACAGAGAAGCCCTGTCTTACAAAAACTAAAAATAATAATAAAGTAGACATAAATGGAAAAAAAACCTTCATTTTGCATTTCAGGAAGTTGTCTCTTTAATTTTTATTTCTCTTTTGAGGCAGGGTCTTGCTGTGTAGCTCATGCTAGCTTCAAATATGTGACCCTGTCTCAGGTTTCTAAGTTTTGGACTATAGGTCTGCACCATCATGCCCAATGCTTGTCAAAGCATTCTCCAGTCAGGGGTAAGGAGATGGCTCAGTAGGTTAAGCGCCAGGTTTGTTCCCTAGAGCACATAGTGTGGAAGGAGAGAAACACATGTTTTCTCCCTCTCTAAAGGTAATTTTTAAAATGTTAAAACATTTTGATAAGAAGATTTTATCTCAGGCCCAAGTAGTTTTGTGTTTGTGTGGTAGTGTGAATGTAACTGCCCCACAATCTCATAGGGAGGGACATTATTAGGAGGTGTGGCTTTGTTGGAGGAAGTGTGTCACTGTGGGGGAGGGCTCAGATGTAGGAGTCCCAGCTATTCTCCAGCACCACAGATGCCTGCATGCCACCTTGCTCCCTGTCATGGTGACAATGGACTGCACCTGAACCAGCCCCAATTAAATATTTTCTTTATAAGAGTTGCTGTGGTCATGGTGTCTCTTCACAGCAAATAGAAACCCTAACTAGGATTTTCTGTTTGGACTAAAGTGGACTTTGGGAGTTTGTGTTGGAAAAGCAATGGAAAGCTTTAAGCACTGCTTACTGGGCCATACTAGTAGGAGCATGGAGACAGTGATGTTGAGTGTGGTTTGATGAACTGTGCAGGGCTACCTCAACAGGTTTTAGAGGAGAATTTTAGTTTGCTGCCTAGAGATCGTTCTTGTGATATACTGGTGAAGTAAGTGGCTGCTTTTTGCCCTTGCCCGGAGTCTGCCCTAGACTAAAGTGAAGAGTCTTGGAGTAATTCCTTGGCAGAAGCAATCTCAAAACAGCATAGTATAGACTCTGTTGTGTGGTTTTTAACGGTAACTCTAATGAAGATTTATATGAAAAGGAGAAAGCTGAGCAGAGTAAATTACAAAGTGAAAATTCTGAGGAGAAAAAAGAGAGCACTAGGAAATGGAATAGAGCTAAATTCTATGCTCAAGGAGATAAAGAGATTAATAAAGGGGGTAAAGGGAGCAGTGACCTCAGGGCAAGATCCTACCCAGCTAAGTTTCCAACTTGTGGAAAGAGAAAAGTTTAGAGCTGGGTGTGGTGGTACACACCTGTAAAATCCCAGCACTTGGGGGGCAGAGGCTGGCAGATCGCTGAGTTTGAGGCCAGTCTTGTCTATAGGGTAAGTGTCAGGACAGCCAAGCTTAATCGAAGATAGAAAGCCAGTGAAGATGTAATTGAAGAGGGGGCCATGTTCCAGCCCCAGCAAGCAGCAGAACTGGGCAGCTTTGGCCACGTGATTCTGGCTTTAGAGTCAAGGATAGAAGGAAGGGGTTATGGAATTTGCCTCCATACCTAAAGAAAGCCTCTGAGGTCAGGCATGTGTCAGGGATGTCCCTGAAAGGAGCCTTATGTAGTAGAGAGGCCATTGTGTGAAGCTGTGAAGTTGAAGCCTGGATTTCTTGAAGACACCAAGATGTTAGAGATGCCAGAGTTGTGGGATACCTGTCAAGGAAAGCTGCTAACAGAGTGGAACCAGCCCAAGAGAAAGACGTGTGCTGTGTTCCCCAAAGCTGAAAGGAGTTGGAGACAGGAACATTTTGACATCAGACACAGAGATGCAGAGTGTGGAATTTGCCCAGCTGGTTTGTGGTCTTGCTTCAGTCCAGTGTTTCCTCACTGTGCTCCCTTCCCTACATTTTCAAATGGTAATGTGTGTCTTGTGTCTTTATGTATTGGAAGTATGTGATCTGCTTTATGATTTTGATTTTACAGGGGATTACAGTTAAGAGATTGCATCTATCTCAAGAGATTTCAGACTTTGAAACAAGTTTAGGACTGTTACTGATTATAGGGACTTCTGAAGTTGGACTAAATGCAATTTGCATTATGATATTGTTACAAGCTTATGGGGGTCAGGGTGTGGAATTTGGTTGTTTGAATATAATTGGCTCCCATAATCTCAGAGAGTGGCACTATTAGGAGGTGTGGCTTTGCTGGAGTGGGTATGGCCTTGTGGAGAAGTTGTCACTGTGGGGCAGGCTTTGACATTTGCTTTGCTCAGGATACTGCCCTGTGTGTCAGTCTACTTCCTGCTGCCTGCAAGATGTAGGACTCTCAGCTGCTCTAATAGCTCCATGTCTGTCTGTCTTCTGCCATGCTCCGCATCATGATGATAACGGACTGAATCTCTGAAACTGTAAGCAAGCCATTAAATGGTTGTTGTTTTTCTTTTATTAGAGTTGTTGTGCTCATGGTGTCTCTTCACAGCAATAGAAACCCTAAGAGAGTTTGTTTTTGTTTTGGATTTTTAGTTTGGTGATTTTGAGACAGTGTTTCTCTTTGTAACCCTGACTGTCCTGTAACTCATTGTAGATCTGTCTAGCCTCGAACTTAGATTCATCTGCCTCTGCCTCTGCCTCTGCCTCTTTTGTGCTGGGATTAAAGGTATGGGCTACCAGTGCCAGCTAAGTTTTTTTTTTTTTTTTTTTTAATTGCACTATCATTCTTCACAAATTCACGCCCTACTTTTAAAAAAATGATTTGTTTTATTTCATATGTATTTGTGAGCAACTGTATGCATATGTGGCACTGTGTGTGTCTGGTACCTATGGAGGCCAGAGGAAGGTGTCAGGTCACCTGAAACTGGAGTTACAGACAGTTGTGAGCTGCCATATTAGTCTGAGAATTGACTGGGGTCCTCTGGAAGAATCATTTCTCCAGCCCTCAACCCACCTTATTAATGTTTCAATCCCTCTCATTTTAATCCTTCCTAGAATGAAAATTTTTGTCAGTAGCCTGCACATTTTATTGTGACATATTCAAGGATACATGTTTATATATGAGGGCTAGGTAGGACTAACAGATCACACATGGTGCTAACAGTGGGTCATTTAAAAAGGTTACTAGTCCCCTGTCATTGGGTTACACCATAACCCAAAGCAGCTTGGTAGGAACCACCCACAATGGGCCGGGCCCTCCCCCATCAATCTCTAAGAAAACACCATACAGGCTTGCCTACAGTCTAATCTTATGAGGACATTTCCCCAATTGAGGTTCCCTTCTCTCTAATGACTCTAGCTGTGTCAAGTTGACATAAAACTAGCCAGGACATCCCTGAAGGCCAAGGAGTCTAGAAACCAGGGCAAGCACCTCCAGGATAATCTCAAGAACTGGATATGTGCTGGGCCAAGTGTCCTGCAAGATACATGTAGTTCAGCCCAGAACAGAGTCAAGGAAGCCTCTTCTCCAGGTCATGGTTACCACATGCTACAGACATGCTACAGAGGGGCTGTAGCCGTGTCAGGGCAGAGCTGTGTCACTGAGGCTTCAGTGAGTTTAGGCCCTGCCCCAGTTCTGGGAACCAAGGCCATGTCAGCTCTGTCCATTCAAGGGCAGCTTTGAGGTCTGGTGTTCTACCTTCACTGAGTAATGCTGGCTAAGGCTCTTGCCTAAAAGAGCTTATTTTCTCCTCTGCTTCAGTCACATAATTTACCCCTTTCCTATAACATGTTAGAGCAAACAGAGAGGCTGCTGATAATTATGCCATTGCTGGTGGCTATGGTAACACCTGACACCTCCCTGATGAGTATGTAAAAACAATTATACTTACAAGCCAGGAAAGAAAATTTCATTATCTGTGATTAGAAACAGAAACAAAATAACTTTTTTTTTTTTTTTTGAGAGGGGTGGTTTTGAACTCATGGTAATAACTCTGCCTCAGCTTCCTGAGGGCTGGATTTAAAGGCCTGTACAAAGCAGTCCCTTTGCTTTCTGTGTTCTGTGAGCTGTGACATGCAGTGTGTGGTCCTCAGCCATCCCACACAGGTAGACCCTTTAGGAAAGGGCTGAGGACAGGGCACTCATATACATCCTAAAGCTGAGGCCCCATGGAAGGAAGTTACATCACTGTGGGACAGTGCAACTGCAACTTTTGCTCACTTTTAGGTTCTTGGCTTCTGTGAAGTAAACAGGCATCCTTCACCATCCCTGCCAAGTACAGGTGCAGAAGATTGACCATGGACTGAAACTTAAACCATTAGCCAAATACAGTAGAATGCTGACTAGCAAACATACAGAGAGGAAAAGAGAGAGCGTGGTCCAGGCTGAGGATGCAGCTAACTGGTTAGTTAGCATGTAAAGGCCCTAGGTTCTATCCCCAGCACCACAGAGGAGCAGTAACTATAATAATAATAATAAACATTATGTCAAAATTACTAATGGTTGGTATGTGGTGGCCTTTACCTATAATCTTAGTTCTCAGGAGGTTGAAGCTGGAAAATCAAGAATTCAAGGCCAGCCTGACTACATAGTGAGATCCCTACCTGCCATTTAAATTATTTCAATTCAGAACACACAAAATACAGAATAAGGTACATCCTGAAAAACCTACTCAAAGAATACATGGGGATGCTTTTTAATTTTTAGTTTTTTTATAATGCTGAATTTATTGAGAAGAAAATTTAAGTATTGGTATCATAAGAATTTGGAAGTCTGTGTAAGAGACCTTCCATAGGCAGTCACTTGAACAACTTGAGTACAAAATGATTAAGTATAGTGATGATTGTAAACTACAGAATAATACGAATTCAGGTGGATAATAGATTATGAATGGGAAGAGACAAGTCTGTTCGGAGCAGTGTGAACCAATATGCTGTCCTGTGTTCAGGAGGACACTGTCTACCCTTATGCAGAAAATGCTGTAATACTTGTTGCAGGATGAATGACCTCTGAGGTCATCCTGCTAAATGAAGTGCTCTGTCACCAAAACCTAAAGCCTGTCATCCCAGGTGGATGGAGTATCTGAAGCAATGCAGTATATGGATGGGGAGGCTGGATAACAGCCAATACCTGTGCACACCTGTAAAACCAGTTTGAGGTTGTGTCCTAGATGCTCCCATCATTCCTGTCTGCAGGCATCATGCAATCCAAGGCACCTTCTGAGCTGGAAAAGCTCAGTGATGGAGCCCAAATACCACTGATAATGCCTAGTTATTTTCTTCACACAAGGCAAAGTGGTCCTTTTCTAAATTCTCCTGAATTTCACTCATTAATGCAATGGAAACAAGTACTTACATTTTAATTTCTTTGGATGCTGTGAAGACACTGGCAAGGTATCTGAGTGTTCTGATCCCTCTGGGGAGACCCAGCCTTTGGGGGAAAGAAAGACAGAGAAACAAGAAAGAATTAACTGTAGCATGAATAATGAAAACTCAGAGACAGATAACAGAGTTAAAGCTGAAGATCAGAAAAGCAAAGCAGCCAGCAACTAAATAGTTCTCACCTATTGCACTGAATACACTGCAGTCCTGTCTCCACCCCCCTTATATTCCTCTCTAGTGTTGGGATTAAAGGCGTACTATCATCAGCCAAGGCAAGGGCACTTTCTTGCCAGTGGCTTACTTGTGCCACAACAAAAGTAAATTCTTCGATGCCCACCATCTTCTCTGTAGTACATTGGTGCTGCATAAAAAAAATAACCTATGTTATTAAAACATCTTAAATGCCATACTCTGTACATCTCTGAAGTTTTTGAAGATGATCTATCTAAAATATCTGTTTGACCTTTTAAACATACCTAATATGACTATAAATTGAATTGTAATAGGTGACTAATTTCTAACTTGAAATTCCTTATTATCTTACATAGTTGGCAATAATAACTTTCAAGGACTAGAAATTTGCATTACATTGTTAAGTGAGCTGTATAGGCACAATACCTTGAAAAAGATTAGAAATATATATACAGTATATTTTAACCAAATTAATCTCAAATGTGTATCAATATACAAAATTGGTATACAAAAGTTAAACCCAATGTAAAATATTTAAAACAAGTATTTGCCTTTTAAAAGTAAGTTTAATAATCTACCTTTTTTTATCTTAATAGATCTATATCCTCCCTTTTTTCTTTTCAGAGTAGATTCAATAATTACCCTTTTATTCTATCATATCTGTATCTCCCTTTTCAAAACAAGAATTCTGAATCTATCTCCTTTGTTTAGCTTTTTTCCTGACCATAACCAATAACAACTTGTAACCAATCCCCTAAACAAATAACAAATATCTATAACTCTTTGAGTGACCAAAAAACACCCACCTCACCTTTTGGGAATATGGGTGTCATGTTCTTAAAATTATTTCAAGCTGTCTGGGAAGACAGCATCATTAGGGGATCCTAAGAAGAAAATTGAGTTAATTGTCAAGTCCTGGGGGTGTATCATTTGTTGTCTCTGTATAATGGGAAAGTTCAGGGCTTGTCTCCAATTCTGGCTAGAGTAGTTTGTGAGGCTGGTCACCTCAGTTAGCCACCTCAAAATTATTCTTTAGCAATTTGTAGTTCAAAGATGATCTTTAGTTGTTGTTCAGCTTAGTGATGTTATTATAGTCCAGGTAGAACTGTCATTGTAAGGCCCCATCCTCCTTTAGGAGACTTCAGAGGTCACTGTTAGGCATGTTCATGGTTCACTGCAGAAAACTGATAAAGACTCAAAGCCACAATCATGGAAAGCAAGGCAGATGAAACCTTTTTCTAGAATTAGTATGCTATATGACCATTAATGTCATGACAAAAACTTTAAAATACAACACACATACACCCATTAAAATTTTTAGGTAATATTTATACCTCCAGAAAAGTTGCAATGAGTCAAAATAAAACCAAAGGATTTCGAGAGTAGAGGCATACAATTGTCCCTTAAATTTTGGTTTTTCTTCTGTCCCATATCAGCTGGCTTTTATGACATGAGACAGATTTTGGATTTTACTTTAACAAGCACGCTTGGGTTTAGAGAAGGAGAGAGCCACACTTCAACTCCAAAGCCAGCTTTAATCTTTAATTGGACTGGTAATACAAAAAGACCACTTGCATTATATGTAGAGAACCTTGTAAGTAGAAATAAACATTTCAGAAGATATATGAGATTTTGTCCTGTTGGATATTTGATATACCAATAGGCCAATTTACTCTTTTTCTTGGGACATTTTTTTCTGGATGATTTGTCCTTTTTCTTCATGTCTCATTTGTCCAGTGGTCTGTCTTCAGATATCTTAGCTGGATGCTTTTATTCTTCCTGAAAGGGGAAAGCAAAACCCTTCCCCCGATCCTAATTTTGGGGAGGTTCACTTTTGGCAAGGTGTATCTGATCAAATGAAAAGCATTTATTAGTTTTATAGGTTAGTGTAGATTGAATGGTCATGGCGCTTAATGAACAATCATCTCTTCTAATTAAGAGATCTCTTGTTCAAATCGAACCTTTATCAATTTTGATGGTATCAATAGTTTTTCTTCTCCTGTACAAACAAAAGCAAAACCCCTCTCCCAATGTAACACATATCCTGGTTTCCATTTTGAGGTCAACACATCTTTCAAGTATACTGGCTCATTTAATTAACTAGTTTTTGTTTTGTTTTGTTTTTTTCTGTTATCCAATGTCTCTCCACAACTGTTCCTTTCTCATTAGCATTTAGAAAATTCAAAGTTAATAAATTATTATGCAATCTGTTTCTGGGGTTCTTTATCAGTGCTTTCTGTTGATTTAGCATATCCTTTAGAGTTCTATTTGAACTTTTTATAACTACCTGCCCTGTAGGGATTGTGTGGTATACTGGTAATATGCTTTGTATTATATAAGCAAAAAACTGTTTCATTTTCTTGGAGACATATGCTGCAGCATTGTATGTACAGGTATGCCCATGATGGCCAAACTTCTAACATATGTGTAATTACCTAATCAGCCTTTTCTGAACTCAAAGTAGTTGCCCATTGAAAATCTGAATAGGTATCAATGATGTGGTATACATATTTTAATTTTCCAAATCAAAATTCTACAAAATGGAACAAATCCATCTGCCAGATTTCATTCCTTTGAGCACTCTTTGAGTTACTTCCTGCAGGTAGGACAGACATTTCCTTATAATTTCCTTGGCTTGTTGCCAAGATTTCAAACCTTTGCTATAGACATGATTTTTTAATGAAATTCTGGGGCCTTGTTTGTAATCAATAATTGATCAATTCCATTATTACCTTGTGCTAGAGGGCCTGGCAGACACATATAGGATTGGATGTATTTGTATATATAGGATGATTGCTATTCGTGATTATTTCTTATAACTGAATAAATAATGAAAGTCAATTTTGTATCATCTGGTATAAATTCAGTGGTTTCAGTATGTAAAACAACTTTCTGCATATTGCAAATCAGTAACTATGTTGAGAGGTTTTGTAAAATTCATTAACATCATGAAAATAGCATAGAATTCTGACTTTTGGGCAGAATCAAAAGGACTTGAATCCACTTTAGTTAAATTTTCTGATTTGTAACCTGCTCTTCCTGATTTATTTGCATCAGTATAGAATGTAGGATAACTGGAGTTATCGGTGTTTCCCGTACAATGTGAGGAAGGATCAGGTCAATTCTCATTATAAGTTAAATTCTCTTGCTTCTGGGATATTTGTTGTTAATTTCTTCCAAAAAATTACTGCAAGCTCTTTGCCAGGGTTCACTTTCTGTCCATATTGTCAATTTCATCCTTACTTAAAGGATCTATAATTTCTGCTGGGTCTATTCCTGCTAATTGATGGTCTCAATTTTCCTTTTAGAATTAGCTCAGAGACCTTGTACACAAGTTTTTTTAAATTTTTTACTCAGTCTATGTGGTAAAAAGATCCATTCTATGGTAATATCTTCCCCCTCTGCATTGAAATGCTTAGAGAGTAAAATGTCCAGAATGCAGATCCACACAGTCCGCTTGTGCAGCCCATAATTTCTCTCCCACCAAAGCTAATTCCCAGTTTCAGTTGATAATTTCCTGGGACTATTTAAGTCCTTGTCTCCATCTAAAGTTTTGTTTATATTAGTTGATCAGGTTTTATTCCAATAATGTGCCGTATGGGATATGTTTCCTAGCAATATTTGAAAGTCAGTGAAAGTCTGCAATTGATCTCTCCTACTTTGCACCCTTTTGGGGGGGATCTAATTTTTTTGTAAACCTATTTTATAGCCTAAGTACTTAACAGAATCTCCTCTTTGTATTTTTTTGTATTAGGAGCAATTTGTAACCCTTAACAAGGGAGAATTTTCTTTACTTCTTCAAACATCCTTTCTAAAGTATCTACATTTGAATCAAATAATAAAATGTCGTCCATGTAATGATAAACTATAGATTGAGGAAGTTGCTTACATATCACTTCCAATGGCTGATGTACAAAATATTGGTACAGGGTAGGACTATTTAACATTTCCCTGCAGGAGAACCTTCCATTGATAACTCTTACCAGGCTGAGGATTATTATAAGTAGGCAATGTGAAGGCAAATTTTTCTCTGTCTTTTTCTTGTAAAGGTATAGTGAAGAAGCAGTCTTTTAATCAGTAAAATTCTTTAGGCAATAGAACAGGCAAAGGACTTCCAGCATGTTGAGAGCCCATTGGCTGAATTGGCTTACTAACCGCTCTTAGATAGTTACCATTCTCCATTTTCTAGATTTCTTTTTAACAACAAATACAGGAGAATTCTGAAGGCTGGGTGTTTCTTCAGTATGCTGAGCATTTATTTGATCCTGTACCAGCTGTTCTAAAGCCTGAAATTTAATGGCCATTGTGCAACCCATTCAGGTTTGTCTGTGAACCATTTTAAAGAGAGAGCTGTTGGTGCCTTTAGAAGATAGCAGCTGTTGTGCCCTGTTCTTGTACAACCTGAATGGTTGGTGACTGTTCTTTATAATACTTTTTATGATATTATATAAGATATGGTATCTATTATGTTATCTATTAAAATTATGGTTAATAACTTCCTAAGATTGAGGGAACATTAAATATACCATTGCTGTAAAAAAATCACGTTCCCCAAAATTTAACTGCTATTGTTACAACATATGGCTTTAATTTTCCTCTCTTCAGCCATATCACCACACCCATTGGGAGAGAGACCTGGGAGCAGACCAAATCATCCAGCACCTGCCCCCATTAGAGCCTTAAAACCACACCCACTAGGAGAGAACCTTGGCCCCGCACCTTCCGGGAGAGGCCCCACCTGCTTCCACTGGAAGAAGAGATGGGAAAATAACAGTATAAGAACACATTTCAACAACATAAAGAGTAATATACCACCAGAGTCTAGGAGTTCTTTCTATACCAACAAGATCTGAACAT